CCCTCCCAGTTTCAAAAATTCAAATTCCGTTACAACAGCCATAATTTTGCACCACTAACACAAATTGGTAGTTGCATGTAAAAGTTATACGCTATTTACTTTCAAAAACGGCATCGCAGGAAACAGCTCAAACCTATTCATTTCAAAAAAATTTCAAAACGGATGTGGGTCTCGACGGACAGGGAATCAAAAAGCAAACAATAGCACTTTGCACCAAAACAAACATTTTTTCCAAATGAACCAAGAACACAAAATACTATATAGTTTGAAAGTTACACTCCAAAAAACCTCAAATTTGCGTTTCTTCTTTTTTTCAGATATAGAAGCGTGCAACTAACAGCTTTGTAAAAAATTTTCGCTATGCTCTTTTCAATTTTGTAAAAATTATTCGAAAATTGATGGTGTACACTTAAAAAAGGGGTAAAAATCTGGGGATCCTTAAATAAAAAAATAACGAATGAAAAAACAATTAAATTTCAACCACACCACCAGTAATACATTACTGCTACTTAATATAATAAAGTAATTAAACAAAATGAATTAACATGCCAGGCTGAAAAATCTATGTGAAATATCAGAAATATGTGTACAGGCTGTTCCATGTTGCTTAAGAACCTGCCAATTGTTTCTAAACTTCTACAGTCACGTTCATTTAAAATCCTGTAAAAATGAACCCCATTATAAACATTAATTAATTATTGATCGGTGCCTCTGTAATGCAATGCGTAGGCGCTACTCTCGTTAATTGGCGTTTCAATTAATGTAATGTAATTGAATGTTTGCAGAACTACATGCACGTAAAATAATAATCTTTCAGTTTCCACGAGCGTTATGAAATGGTATGGTGTTTAGTTTTATTTTTAAGTGGGCGAGATTTCAGTCAGCCCATCCCACTATACACATTGAAAATAAGAATAGTACGCGCTCTTTCCTGGCGTCGCCAAAGTTCTTTTCAGTTCAGTTCAGGTCCATTTAAATCTGTGTAGGCAGCAGTTACCAACGCGACTTCAAATACACTAGCAGTGCACATACATAGATAGCAATAATTGTTATTTATTATTTAAGACGATAATGGGGTAGTTTAACCATTGAGTGAGTTAACTTTCACGAGATGATTGGTTTCCCTTGATTGTCGTGTGTAATACAAAACATTATTTTATAGCAGAAGCCATATAAATCATTCTAAAGCTTCTGACAATTCTGATTTTCCATAAAAACAGCATTACTATATATTCTAAACGGCATTTTATATCGTGCTCTGTGTCCCATTTAAAATAAGAATAAGAATTATTTACATCATTCACACAATTCTCGTAGCCCCCAATCCTACTATCCACCTCTCCTTTTATAACGCTTCCGATTTCGAATTTGGCAAGTTCGCTCCTAAATAGCTCAAAAACGGATCATTTTATGTTCCAGCGCGTTACCGAAATTGTAGCGTGCGTCGAATAAACAAAATACATAGTAACAATTTGAATAGATGAACTAAATAATCCTCGACTAAGCAACAGCGGACCGAAGAAAGTTAACACGCACTAATAAATAAAACGGTAGACGAAAAGAAGTTTAATGGTCTACATAAGCTAAAAATATTACTACTTTATTATAATTGTAATTTAGCTATGCGTATAGTTATTAATTTCCCCACAAGACTTGTACCATTCTTTTGGACGGAAATCGGCAGAGATCAAGAACCTCGTCCAAGTAATCAACAAAGCCGCCAATTAATTGATGGATACTGGCTTATCACGCTATTTTTAAATCGCCGTAAAAACAAGTAATTTGAGGGATAACAGCGCGATCGGGTCAAGCTCAATGAAAAACGGACCACGGTTAATAAACTTCCAATTAATCAACTAAAGATCTGGATGTTTCCCATACACCACGCCTAGTTTTTGAGTAGACAAAATCTTAGTTGCACGCTGAACACACAAAGAGAGCCTACAGTCAATCTCCAGGGCAACGTAACAGCACTATTTCAGTGTGCCAAAAACAATAAGACACAGAAGTAAATAAATACCAACCAGAGAAAGCTGCCCCAAACAAAAATAATTAGGGTGTTAGAATTAGCTTATTTGAAATGGCATTTTTCTCATTGCCGATGGCATCTACTGTAGGTACTCGAACATCGGCCAGACATTATCGATCCTTCACCAGCGCCGTTTGTTCCCGCATTCCGCGTTTCACTAAAGTAAACATTTGTCGAAAAGATAACAAATTTAAACGTAGAACAGTGGAGCGTTCACCGCCCGCCGACGGGATTTAGGAAGCTTACAAATGACAATAAAAGGTATAGCAGAGGCTTACATCATCCACGCGCCCGGTCATCATTTTCAATTTTAGACAGCTAGGGTTGGGCCGCAGGGTTTGTTTATCGTTAATTAAATTTAATATGACGTCTAATTGCGTTATTATTAATGTAAGTAGTTTTGTACCACACGCGCCCAATGGAACGCGGAAAGTGTAATATTTGTTTATACTGCTGTGTCTGCTTTGTTGCCTAACATTCAGGCGATTGCATATATCTGCAACTTGTTGAGAAATATAAGCCTGTAACGTCATAATTAACACATTTCATGAGAGGGGAACGAGCTATACAGGGGGCGCTAAACCCTTTACATGTACCTAGTTAAATGGGGAACGTGCTACATCCATTACAAGAAGTGAAATCGTTGTTTACAATGTCATGTAATTTAACAAAATGATTACAAAATCTTCTTTCACAACTTCATAACGTTCAGAATGACATGTATGCCTCTTGTCTCTCAAACGGAAATCAATCAATCACTTAAACTCTGAATGGGGATCTACCTTGGGATGGAAACTCATTTGCTAAATTATCCTAAAGACATTAGCCGATATTTTGATAACTTCCCTACCTAAAATAATAACCGACCCTAGTTCTCCTTATTGGCATATGCAAGATGTAATGAGTTTATTATCAACATTTGATTTCAATGGCACTCTCCAAACAAAAGTGGCTGTTTTGATGTTTCTTTTGAACTGTTTCAAAAGTATCTTTAACCTTTCTTTGTCTTAAACCAGAATCGTTACTTAATTTGCTTGGAACGTTTGCAATTTTTTTAATAACTTCGTTTCTTTGGTATTCATTTGGAGTTTTTTCTAAAAAATTCTTTAAAATTTGTATTTCGCATAATCATTTATCATTGCCTGTATTTAAAATGTTTTGCTTGGGCAATAATGGACGACATAAATGTTAAATTGTGGACGTTGAAGCAAAGCGATGTATTTGATGTTTTTTATGTACATGCAATTTATCATTTTACGAGTTTCATGGTATCGTCTTGTATGGGTAGTATATTTATTTGCTCTTATCTTTTCTGGCGCACAAAATTCTGTATTCAATTCCCTTGCCGATTAAATCTCACATAAAAAGAACTGATAACATACCGTAGGATCTATTCGCGTCGCCTAGAGGATTTAATTATGGACACCGCAACTCAAACTGCAGCAAGTGTGAACACCCGCGTGAAGTTGCGATTGCACCATGGTTCATTTTTTGTCAAAAGTTAAATCAGATGAAACTTTTACTGCGGCAGCCCGGTGCAGTATTCAATATTGTTTTAATGTCCAAGAGAAATTTGTTAATGCCTCTCGTCTTGATCGCGCAATTCAGTAATTAAATAAAAGCACTCAACTGTTCACACCTTTTTACCCGCTTCCTGACCCACACTGTAACTTTTTCTTTCGCCGTTTTTGCTTCTCCAACAGTCTTATATAAATATAATATGCTGCCCCTACAACTATTGCGTCATTCACTCTATAAACAAACGTTTCCCTCAACGTACGCGAATAAATTGCGAGGCTGAAACTGCAAGAAATGCTGCAACCAAAACATGTTGCAAAAGTACTGCTTTGGTGTGACCTCTTTCCAGAATTTTATAATTTCCCAGCTTTCTAAATCTCTTCCTGAGTGGCCCCTTCCAAAGCATTCGAGACCCTTAAAAAAAAGTAGGTTCTTCCTAGAACTGAATAAGCACTCCTACATTGTGCAAAGGGTAGAGATGATCTGCAAAAGGCATAAAGAGCGCTAGAATGCACAATCAAGCGTATAAAAGATTCTAGAAAGATGTCTATGGCAATCACTTGAAGGAAGCGGACACTCGAAGAAAAGATCTAATAGGCTTTGAGAGGTTCCTTATAGTGCTTCCCAGAAACTCCTTTTGCACTTTTGGGAGCCGTTCCTTAAGCTCTGAAAAAGTCCAATAATGCTCTGGGAAATACTTAAAAGACTCTGCTAGTGTGAAAGAGTAGGAGTATAAGAAAAGGTCTAACAAGCTTTGACAGAAATTTTTTTTTTGTTTTTCCATACAATTTTTTGGAAATTATCTTTTATACAAACCTTGTCTTGATAATAACAAACACAGCAAAAAAAGGATTATCTAATTTGGTGCAGTCGTTCTGAAGTTATGCGCGTTCTCGTACATATATTTCAGCGATTCATTTTTATTTATTTTATATAGCAGATGTTGAATTGGCATTTTAATACCTTTGAATGAATTTCTTTAACGGTTTGGGTAGATAAAGTGGTCACTTTAACGGCAAAAGTAGATAACGTGAAACAAACCATTGTGCATTACAATGATATCTGTCATTCTTATTAAAAATGGGACGCGTAGCACAAAATAAAATGAAGTTCAAAACATACAATATTGTTTCAATGGAAATGATGGGAGAACCTAAACTTATATAAGCATACCAATTATGAAAAAATTGCTTCCTCAATAACGGAGATGATCGATTTTTTGTTGTGGTTAATGGGAGGAAAAAATTAAAGGGGCTTTTTGGGACGCAGCACATTTTTCGTTTTTCTTTTAAGTCGTTCATATATCTACCAGACATCCTGTATGGTCCACACCAAGGATGAGATCCTCTGATTCCCACCACGAAGCACTTAATTCAAAGCATCGCAATCTCACTGCGCATACTGTATACATTTTATACAGCGCAGTATAAAAAAATAATAATCGAGAACTAACCTTGGTTATGAGCAAGTTCCTCGTACACACACTGAGCGGCCTCTTTCTCCGAAATAACATCCCACAATCCATCGCAAGCCAAAATCAAAAAATCTTCACTTCCATTCAGAGGTATCTCCCGAATATCGGGCACGGCAGTTACATAAGGTTTGTACTCCAAATCGCCTAAAAGTATCACCATTAAATCTTTGCTGCAGCGGAATGCCGGTCACCTATCGCTCGCGAAACCGCCAGCTGACCATTTACTCGCCAAGAGCCCCAAAATATGATCGTGCCCCCTAGCTCTTCGATGCGTTGCTTCTCGTCCTCCCTGCAAGGCTTGTGAGGTTGGACGCATTGCAAAGAATGCCCTTGGCCTACCAAAACCGCCTGTGAATCGCCGACCCATGCGATGTACAACGTTTTCTCCTTATGTTTGAGCAAAGCGCAAATTGCGGTGGTACCGCTACGAAAATTCTAAAAATCCCACGTCACTAACAACGTCTCGTCCAACGCAAAGACTTACCTCAACTTTACATTTGTCGTTGAACAAGGTATCAGTTTTTAGAAAAGCTTCTCGTAATGCCAACTTGGGGTTGGTGCAAAACTGTTTGTTTTCACCCAAAAATTGGTGTAAATGAGCACAGCTGTACGCCGCAGCGTCGTGTCCTGCATGACCATCGAATATTGCATAATAACTGGACGGACTAACTTCCTGCAATCTTCCCTTACAAATGCAAATAGGCAAAAGCTTGGCGAACAAACCTTATTCGAAAACAGAGTGCTTAAATCGTGCACGATTACGTGGCGATCCTCCATTCGCCTTCGACTGTTTTTGATTGCGCATGCGCTTACTACATTATATGGAGGCCCTGGAGCTGGAAGACTGCAAAGTTTGCTGTTGTCTAAATATCGCCGACAGACTTCATTTGTTTTGCCGATGACGCTCTGCATAAAACGAAGTGGCTCGTACGCTACAACAATCATCAGTAATTCGCCAATAAACCAGCTCTCACCTTTATCTAATGGATTGAATCCGCATAATGTGGGCTCTTTTTTGCATGTACTTCTCACTTCTTGTATTATTATTTTTATGAGGGGCGCTAATAAGGGCTGGGGGCATTTTCTAGAAACAATTAAATATTGTTAGTGAATGATGTAATAGTGGTGGCGTTAAGATCAACAACTTTAACCCGTCACTAATGCAACAGTGCAGCATGTTTTGCATAATAGTTACGTGTAGTAGATCCAGGGGGTATGGAATACCCCCCGCTATTCACATCCATATCGATAGCATTGGCTGTCCATTAATACAGTATTTTGGTTTACGAGAACACGGTTTATCTCATCCAACTACAAAACGTCAAAGTATCGTAACGAATGATGCGGGGAAACAAGAAAGCGTTTTTCAAAATCTGATAGTTTTGACATTTTAAGACATAAAAATAACATAGGAGGAAGTTTGGTGCATTTTTACGTAGAAATAAATGGCCTAGAAATAATTTTCATACCCACTACCATTTTGGGGTATTATTGTAACGAATATTCCAGAAATCCCAATAGACATCGAGGCGCCATGAAAGATTAGTAATCGGCGATAAAGAACGAAGACGGATGTGATGTAATCTTTCCTAGAAATATGACGTGTTTGTTCGAGAACATTCTAGAAAATTTAATCCGGCAAATTAAGAAGTATAATTAACAGTAGCTAATTAAAAGAGTTGAGCCAATTACATATATTTATGTTTATCGTAGGGACGTAGGCCATGATTAAATAAAGAAATTTTAATTTTTTGATATAAACAGTCGAATACGCTGTGCCGGCTGGAAAAACCGTCTTTCCCTCCATAAGATGGCCAAGTGTTTTGCTTTTCCTGATTTCTTAGAGAAGAAATTGAGTCATCCATCTCATAATCTTATACTGAGATCGCAGAAATTATAGAAATGTGCGTACTGGAGATTCCCAAGGTTTTCAAGGTCCCTCCTAATGCTTTCCTATATCCGATTTTAAGATGTTTATGATCTCCAAGATTCCACAAGGTTTCTAAGCCGTCTAAAATTGCTTAGGCTCTTAGCATTCCTAGGACTGCAAAGATTACGAAGATTTATCATTAATCCTGAGATTCCTATGCATCGCAATCCTAAATACAGGAAGATTCCGGAGACCACTGATATTCCGAACGATTCCCAAAAGTTTCAATGGTTCAAATTTTTATTATTCCCATGTTGCCGAAAACTTCCTTATATTATACTGATACTCTCCAAGACACCTAACATTCCTACGATCTTTTACATAGGTATCATTGGTTCTTGTTCGTAAGTAGTTTGTAGGTCATCTAAGATCCTACTGTAATGAAGCACTCGTTTTTAGTTTTAACGTTTTCCGGTTTTTGGTTACCACTCTGTATCTAGAACGTTTTAAGTTGGGCGCTTCGTTACGAAGTGTCTGCGTTGAAGATAAACGCTAAATGTCTAGAGCTGTGTTTCGGCCACCGCTACCGTAAATAACGCTACAGTTAATTCGCCGTTTGTAACCGTTCCAGTCCGGATATTTCAATTGTCTGTATTGCGTCCGAAAGCTCTTGTCGTTTAGAAGACGAGGCAAATTAATATTTTAGAATTTCAGCCATTATTAGCAGGTTTTTGTTTCCTATGCTAATCTAAAACGAGCATTTAAACGATTTAGTTCGATATATTGCTGATGCAGCAATTACCATGTATGCAGATGACACATCGATTTTGCTAGGAGAAGTTGCACTGGAAGATGTCATCAGTCATGCCACAGAGGTACTGGAGCCGCTCTTTAAATGGTTCTGCTCAAATAAGTTATACCTGAATACTGATAAAAAATTTTATGTTATTCTATGCGGGTAGAATCTATAACGAAGATACTGCCTTGTTACGGACAAACAATAATATCATACACCAAGTGACCAATGCAAAATTTCTAGGAATTGATATAGACAGTTCTACAACATGGGAAAGCCACTGCAATAATATTATACATAAATTAAGCTCTGTCTGCTACCAGGTCAGGTTTCTTCGTACCTGCTTATATATCAGCACTCTTAAGAGTTTTTACTATGCTGAAGTTCAGTCCACGCTGCAATATGGTATACTGCTATGGGGTAACTCAAACTATGCAAAGGGTGTCTTTGTTAGTCAAAAACAAATTATAAGATGCTTGGTGGGTGCCAAAAGTGGGGTATCCTGCAAACCATTATTTCAAGTGCTATGCATAATGACATTACCCTCTCTGTATATATATGAGGCGGCTAACTATGTCAAAGGGAACCTCAACAAATTTCGTACAAACCTAGCCATTCACGGGAGATGTACAAGATTCGGCAAGAAGTTACTATTACCACAACATCGATTAAGGCTGACTAATGCCAGTTTTAAGTGTATGACGATTAGGATCTATAACAAACTGCCCAAGGAGATAATAGACGCACCAACAAAAGCGAGTTTCAAAGATAGATTAAAGCACATGTTAATCCAAAATTGTTACTATAATATATCTGATTTTCTGTATCAATAGCTAGCTTTTTCCAATAATTTAATCGACGTATCTCTTACTTTTGTTTTCGTGTATGAGATCAATAAACGTAAATAAATAAATAAATTTGAACTGCAAGACCGTGCAGATTTGCGCCGTTATCAGGTTGATAAGCGACTTTTATGCCGATCCAAAAAATTTCGATTAACACTTACTGGACTACCGATTTTAGAAATTTCAATCAGGTCAATTAAGTGAAATTAACTAAATAAATGTGTCGGCAGGTCGCACAATTAATTAAAGAAGTTGTGGTTTTTGGACGTATTAACGGAATACGCCGGCCGGTATAGGGTATACTTAACAGAGCCCGCTATTGAGCAGCAGTATAAACATGTTCAGTAAGATTATGCTTATGCATTAGATGTCGTTGCAAATAATTTAAAACCATTTTAAAACGTTAAAGTTTGTACAATTCGAATTTCTTATTATTGATATTATTACCATTGTTCAATTAAACAGGAGTGTAAACTTTGACGCTTTAAATATTTGCAGCGACATCTAATGCGTAAATACATAAGCGTAATTTTACTGAACAAGAGTCAATAACATGGAGGTGTCGTTTAGTTAGGTTGAAATAATGCGGAAGATGAGAGCGAGTCACCTTGTAGAGTAAAAATACGTGTTGTTAACGTAATTTCGGTCGGAATATTGGAAATGGTAGTCGGAACATCTGTTATGTAGCGTAATTGTGAATTCAGTCGGAAATTGTTTTATTTACTTAATTCAATTTTTTGATAAATTCAATTTATATGATAAATTGAAAAACGCATAAATAAGGGAACATTTAAAGTTATATCTAATCCCGTGTTAGTAAAAAGTCATTATATCGGACAAAAATTAATTGGTTTTGCGACAAACAATGCCACGTGCGAGATGAGCAACCATTTTTTTATCAACTAATGTGTCAATTTGAATCCCATTCGAAATCCAGGGGTAATTTTGGAAAGAAAAAGGAACAATTGTGTAATTTGAGGTAGCTAGATAGGTGTTTGTTGGGTGGTATAGTGACCGCACGCAGCATTATTATTTGGCGCCCAACGTGGGGCCACAGGATTATTTATTTAGCGCCCAACGTGAGGCCACAGCAAGCAGGGCCCGCCTTTTATATTTCAAATCAATGATTTTTGTATTTTCATACGGTTTTATTTATGTTCAGATAAGTATTCTGTATTATCCTTTTTCTGGACTGTTCCAAAATTACCTCTACCCTCGCCTCTACCACTGTATCCTGTTAAAAACGTTACCAATGTTCACCATACACATATCTGCGTTCACCATGTCTAGTCTGGAGGCATGGACTATGGGCATTATGACCTTGACAGCTTGTACTGTTACCTCCGAAGCCCTACTGCATATTAACCTACTTTGGCGCACAAGTTGGAAAAGTTTTAAACCTTGAATTTGTTAGAGAAGAAATTGATTCAACAATTAAGGCAGGCAATTATGTAACTATTATTTGGACGTTTAGCTAAAGTAGGCGCTAAAACTATGAGCATTAATTGCGCAGACAGTGTAATTAGCGCAAAAATTTGGTCGCACTTGACGCAATAGTGTACATGTTTTGCGCAAAAAGTGATAGAACGTTCTGAAGGTGTCTGATGCAAATCTGAAACGTAAATCAATTGTTTTTCCAGTTCAGTTCGGTCACTCGCATTAAAATAAAAAATAAATATTGTTTACAACAAATTATTTTATTCGAATAGAAACAGAAATACTAAAAATAAACGAACAAAACCGGCGATCCTTTGCCGAAAGTAAACAAAACAGGTACAAAAAAATACGTAAGATTTACAAAGAAATACAATACTGTTCTTTGCCAGGGTGGTTAATACGTAATCGACGACGTTTTATATTCTGAATTAAACGAGCCCACCCCCCCCTCGCGCGATATTTACCATGTGATGTGCATATACTTAAGGTAGGTGCACTCAAGCTTTCCCACCCCCATTTCAACTGCGAATTCAAAACCCATACAATTTGTTGAGGCGCGCTTTTAAAACCGACGGAAATTGCTCGTAGCGAATCGCAAATTCCGCATTAAAATGGAATCTGTAAGATACGAGTATGTTGGAGACGGCTTCCTTGACGTCCAATTTCACGTTCTCAAATGATGCGACCGCGTCGCAAAAGTAAACCAAATTGTCGATGACCGACTGCGGATTTCTGACAATTAGTTCACACAGTCCCCGAAATCCAATGTACTTTTCCTCACAGTCCGCGACGTTGCGCATGGCTAGGCAGCAAGGGCGCAAGATCATTGGTAAGTATGGCAACACTGAATCGGTGGAAATTAATCCGATGGTACACAGAGCTAGTGCGACCGTTTGATAAACCGTTTTTCTACCGTTAACGTCGACCATAATTTTCAAAAAGGGGCCCATAATCGAATCGGCATAAGGAGCGATTTTGTCTCCCATCACTAAGGCCAACTTTCCAATGACCCAGGCGGCGTTGTTACAGACGGGTTCGTAACGAATGTCTAAGTTATTGATAATTATCGGAAGATAGTCGGAGATTGTGGGCTCTAGTAGATGAAAGCAGTGTTTCACGAGTTCGCCATAGAGGGC